TGGATACAAAGCGCAAGTTCGCGTCGTCGGACCCCTCGAACTGGTAGATACCTCGACGAAGGAACTTGCTGCGGTTGGCGGTGAACGTCTGCAGCTGCTGGTTGCTGAAGGCAGGCCCACCGCCCATGTAAACGAGGGCGTAGCCCAGGAAGCTCGAGGCCACAGTGACCTGGAGGTCCATGTAGTGCCCAGCGACCTCGCCTCGAGCTTCGAGCATGCGAGCCATGTCGTCATGGATGTTTGAACGACGTTCGAGCTACCCGTCTGGTTAGTATAGTCAGATCGTTTGTGGGCTATCCAATGCATACCCGTTGCTCGAGGGTCATACTTTGTTCCTGATGTTCATGGCTTGAGTCACATCCAACGATACGAGGAATGAGAAAGCCTCACCTCTTCGTCAACCGTCACAGTCTTTTTCTTGGTAGCCTTCTTACCCTTTTCAGAGCCCTGGATGCTTCCCCCTTTGGTACTGGTAGGCGCCTCGATGGTCTTTTCACGGTCAACGTCCATCTGCTCCCCTAACCCTTCATCACCCTAAAGTGAACGATAAGTAGGTGGTTTCAATCTCGAACACGGAATAGAAACCAACTGACCTGGCCCTCGCCGGTGTTTCCTGCATCGTCTCCCTTAGGTGGCGCGAACGTGTTGGTTTCAATTCTACCCAGGGATTGGAAACCAGTACTCACTTGCTCCGCAGTCTTGGCCTTCTTCGCCGCACGTGAAGTGCCCTGACGTGTGGCCCGGCGCTTGCCTCCAGAGGTCCCAACGATAACGATGTCGCTTAACCCACCATCGTCGTCATCTGAAGGCACTATCTCGGGTGTCTTTGGTTGCTACGGCGAACAGTCAGCCACCCATGTGCCTCCCCAAGTGCGCGAATACACACCTTTCGGCGCCCCCGAGCTGCGCCCTGCTTACCCTTGGCAGCACCCTCTTCCTTCTTCTTCGCTGCCTGCGCTGCCTTCTCCGCCTGCTTCTGCTGCTTCTCCTGATCTCTCCTCGCCTTTTCCTCCTCGGTAAGTCGTTTCGCCTAAAAGGAGGGGTCAGATACGACGAGCACGAGCCAGGGGTTGGGGAGCCACTCACCATCGGGTGGGTTGGAACTGCTGGTGACGGGTTGGTTAGAGTGGGGAGCTAGGGTAAGAGAGGAGTGGACTCACCTTTTGGGTACCGACGGGTTGCTTCGCAGGAATAAGCGTTAAAGGTGGTGTAGAGGGGGAGGAACCGAGTGGGTTGGTGGTTGGAGGGAAGAAAGAAAACGATCAGCCTCCCAGCTTTTATGTCTGGGGTGGCTGAGTCAGGTATGATCGAAATCCTATCCTTTCCGCCATCCCAACAGACTTACTCTCAACCGAATTCTGTAAAACTAGATGCGATCGATAGCTCGGTTAAAGATGTTTCAATAGAAACAAGTATTAGGAAAAATGGAGGAGAAATGAGAGTGTTGGGAAGGGAACTACGAGGAGGTAAGTTTTCCTCCGGGCTAAGACTGTTCCGAACCGATCGTACTTACCTTACTGGGAGACGATCGCGCCAAATTTGGGCTCGTTTGAAAGGTCTGGACCGGCGATTCTTTTTTTGATAGCCGTCGCCCCACTATGACGACTGAATTCGGTTTAGAATAGGGGTTGGAAACCACCAGGTCCGCCTAACGGAGGTATGTGAATCATTTGTTTCGTGTGCGTGAACCCCTTTCTAACGCGCTACCCTTCTCGTCTTGGGCGCGTTTACGAACGCCGAGCAAAGGCTTTCGAACAAGCCCAAGAACTCCCCTATACCACCAAAATTGAGCGAGGGACAATGGTTTCTTACTCCCTAACCCCCGGTAAGCGCCTGTGTTTACTTTTCTTCTTTCCCTTGGCTTATTGACGTCCTACCCTTCTCGACTTGGGGCCGTTTTAAAGCCTTCTCCTTTCCGTTTAAAACGAGCCCGGACCTAGTGGAATCGAGGTTGAAACCGGTATGTTATCTCCCGGGCGCCAAGGGAAAAGCGGATCAGTGGTGTTGTTTCCGCCTACCAATTTAGAGATGCTACTTACCTATTTTGGAAACAGCTCCACAGGTGGCAGATCATGGTTTCAATTCTCGGTGCGTGATTGGATTATTGACGTCCTAACAAAGGCCTTCTCCTTTCCGTTTAAAACAAGCCCAGACACTATAGAGTCGATGTAGAAACAAGTATGAGATAAGTTGGAACAGAAGTCTCAATGGTTTCTATTCGCGATCCTAAGCAGAAACCACATTGGACAAACTCTGGTGTTCCTGATCAATCAAAAATTTAAACTTGGCAACTCGCGCGATACTTCAGACACGCAGGTTTCAACTTTGTGTGACTGGTTGAAACCGCAAGACATAGCGTCAACAATGATAAAAGTGTATTTGTAAATAAAAAAAAGATGTACATGAAAAAAGGAGTAAAACGAGGTGTAGTTTGCGAGCGTGCTCCTCCTAGTCTTGATCAACGTCCATTTCGTCATCCTCGGCGTCGGCATCGGCGTCCTCGTCCTCGCTGTCGTCGTCCTCGCTGTCGTCGTTGTCGCTGTCGCTGTCGGATTCCTCTTGTTCCCCCTTACGCGCCGTTTCCAGACCATCGACGTCCATAGGGTGTAGCTTAGCTCGAAGAGGTTGTGAAGACGATGAAGAGGTAGGAGTCGGTTGGTCCGGCGCGTCAAGGTTGATTCCGCCAGCTGGGAGAGTCGCAGCCGCCTTCTCCTTCCCCTTGGGCTCTGGAGCCTTGACCTCGACGTTAGGCGCGCCAGGGATAGGGACGGCGACACCAACGCGGCTTGAACGGACGGGCGCAGCCGGACCCTGGCCCATCAGCATCTTCATCTTCTCCTCGTCGCTGTAAGGTCGGATGGCGAGCTTGACGGCGTCGACGTCCATGAAAAAGTCGGACATCTCCTTCGGAACGGTGATTCCGAACTCCTTCGGTAAGACGTCGTCGAGGAAGGAAAGATTGCTGAGTCCTGGCCTCAGCTCGTTACCGTCCTCCATGAGCACCTTGGTGAAGCGCTTGCGCTCAAGCATGCGCATGTAGCATGCATGCTGGTGGAGCAAGGGCGTTGGTTTCAAAAACGAAAGGGGAATGGAAACCATCACAATCGTCAGCATGGTTTCAACCACAGAGCCAGAATAGAAACCACGTACCCTGAGCGCCTCGACGTACGCTGTGTAGCTAGACGAGGGGATGCGACTAAACGTCTTCTGGACGTGCTTGCCGTTTTCTTCGACGCTGATGGTGTAGGCGATGGCAAACGAGCGCGTCAAGACTTGGTAGTACCGTGTCATCTCGGCGCGCTGGTACTGGATGAGCGACTCGAGATCGGTCGCGTGCTGGAAGTCTGTGACCTTGTTCTTCGCAAACTTCTCGAGCGATTCGCCGGTGGGGGAATGGTCAGCGTCGTTGATGCCGTGCCAGGGGATCCACTTGTCGCGGTGGGCGTGGATCGTCGTTCGGAGCTCGCGGTAGACGTTGAAGGTGACGGCGTCGGCCTTGAGCATCTCGACGAGCTTGGGCAGGCAGACCAAGATCTTCCACACCGCACCGCTCGCCGACGCAGCCCTCTGGTAGTGAGCACCGTTCGAATGACCACCAGGAGACATCCAAGGCCGACCGGATCGAGTGAGCGCGACTTCGACAAACCGGTAGTAGTGGGACCACGCTTCAGGGTAATCCATGTGCTCGTCCCTGGTCTTCTGGGCGATTCCCTGGACCGACTTGGCAGAGACGGGATAGAAGGTGCCATTTCGAATCTTGAGGGCTGCGTCGATTTCGGGGTACTGCCTGCGATGCTTGTGTTCCTCGTTCGCTTGGTGGATCGCGTATTGTCGAAGAATAGACGTCAGATACTTGCACGCCTCCTGTGCCTCCTTTTTATACGTCTTCTTCTTGCTGAGCTTCGTGATGCTGCTCGCGATTGGCGCCCCAGGAGCGAGCCACTCCCAAGTGTGACTCTTCTGCTTCGTCCATTCGACCAAGACCGTGTTCATCGAGCGGAGAACGACACGGCGAATCTGGCAGACGGTTTCAATAGTCAGTTCAAAGTAGAAACCATGTAAAGTAAAACGAACACACCTGTAGAGGTTTACCAAAAGGTTGGAGGAACCGCAGAAAATCGGTTTCAAAACACGAAGAGAGATAGAAACCAAAGGACTCACCCCTTCAAGAATAGCGTCAGAACAATCGTCCTTGACGAGGTCGGCAGGGCTCGTGCAGCCTTCGGGTGGATACGTCGCAATCCATCTCGCGACATCTTCGAGACGATACTCGTACCCAGAGTTCCCGTGGACCTCCATCAGGAACCCAGGGTCAATCAAAGCGACGATCTGAGGCGGAAAGGTTAGACTACCGACCTGCGATAAATTGCGGGAAAATGACTTACCATGCGAATGGCCTCTGAGCGAGACGCCAGAAGCTCGACGAGTCGCATAGCGAACTGGGGCACGTAGATCGGCAAGCCCCACTCGCCACGTTCCGGGTTGGCGATGGACGCTTGGATCTTGCGAAGTCGGTCGGGGAGAACTCGAATAAGGTCAGAGTTCGCGACCTCGTCCCCCGTCTCCTTCTCCTCGTCCGTTCTATTCACCTCCTCCTCAAAGTAGCCAATGATGGCGGCGTAGAACGACTGGAGCGCGGCGTTCCAAAGCGCAGAGTTTTGGGGCAAACGGTCGGGGGGCGTAGCGAAAGAGATAAAGTGAGGGGCGAGGAATTCTTCGTACTTTTCCTTCACGACTTCCCAGAAAGGTTGGCCGAAGATGTTGAAGTCGAGCTGGGCAAAGGCGGGGTCGTATTCGGTGTTGGGGGGGACAACCGACAACGGAGCGGCAAGCCACGACGTTGCTCGCAGCATAGTGTGGAGGGTAGGGATGATGATCTGGTAGGGGGATAAAGTCAGCGATTTTTATCGAGGTTCAAACTTTCAAACACGCAGACTTACCGTCCCAGGGAGGTCAGCGACATTTTCCATAAAGCCCAGCGTCAGTTTCGTATCCTTGATGTGGGTGTGGGCCTTGCTCGCGAAGAGGTGGACGACGACTTCAAGAGTTTTGTCGTCTTTCGCGTACTGGGTGACGAGTCGATGGTCCGGGAGGTAGGGGAGCTGCTTCCCCCATAGCGTGTGGTTGACGCCGTGAGGGATGAGGACAGAAACGATGTTCTCGACGATGTCCAAAGGTCGGTCAGGGGAAGACGCAAAGTCGGGGTTAGAGGCCAACGTTCGCAAAACTTCCTCGCCATGGCCCGATGCGTTGATCTTGTCTGTCCAACATAGGCGGTTTCAATACCGGATCACGCATTGAAACCGAAGCCACTCACCCAAATCGTAAACTCTCGCACACCAACTCCCAGCCTGCTCCAAAAGCTGGGTCAGGCTACGAATCTGGTCCAATGTCTTCTTCTTCTCCTGCGAGTCCTTGACGTTGGACGCCGTGACCAAAAGCTTACCCCAACTCTCGCGCGAGGCCTTCATAAGCGCTTGAGTGACCTCTACTCGATGAGCGCCGTTGACGAGGTAGATAACGGCTTCCGGGTTCTCTTCCTTCAGCTTGGCGAGCTCTTCCAAGTTGAGTACGAGCTGCTTGACCTTGTGGGGATTGGCGCTAGTGGGGGAGGGGAATGACTTCTCTTTGTTGACGATGCGCCCGGGTAGTGCAATGATGATGGCGTGCTCTGGGGATTGGGTAAGGAGCTCCTTGCCCTTGTTGTAGAGGTCGTCGAAGACGGACTGATCGATACCGCGAAGGTTGAATTGGCGAAGGGAAAAGGGGATGACACCTTTGAAGTGTCTCTCATCGTCGTTTTTAACCCATTGGTAGATCGCCGACTGCGCGAAGCTATCCACTTCGTCGAACTTTGCGGCATCCTTTCCCATTATCGGACCCGCCCCAACGTAAAGCATAGCGAGACCCATGTGAGCTTCGCTGGCTATCATCTGGAACTTGATGGCGGGGCCAGCAGCGTCAGCACGTGCAGCGAGCATGTCCTCGAGCGTCTGGACAGCTGACTCGCTTTCGACAATCTAAATACATTGGTGTTCAGTGACTGAAACACAGTAGGCGGTGAACCCTACTCACAGCTTTATCGACCTTTTTATTGCTCTGATGAAACGGTTTCAAACCGGTGTATATAATAGAAACCAACCAAAAAAACGTACCCTGACGGTCTTGCCTCCAGCTCCAGATACCCTCCTCGCTCGTTTTGTCTTGCTTGGACTGGCAGGAGCCTATCATAGTAGAGAGTAAGGATTCGTAAGTCACTCGATTCCCAAAAAGACGCATTGACGTACCGATTGCTTCTGTTTACCCTTACCTCGCTGTAAGCCGTCGTTATTTCGTTTCAATCCTGGACGCGGTATTGAAACCCACACTTACCCCATCCTGCTCACCGCCCGTATTGCCAGACCCCGAACCTCCAGCACCAGCCTACAGCGATGGTTGGTTGGTTTCAATCCTGGACGCGGTATGGAAACCAACACTTACCCCGTCCTGCTCATCGACATCCTTGCCGGACCCCGAACCTCCAGCACCAGCCTACGGCAATCGTTCGTTAGCTTCAATCCTGAATGCGTTATTGACCCCAAACTTACCGTATCCTGCTCATCGACCTCCTTGCCTGTCCCTGAA